AACAGCATATATAGTATGACCAGAAATTATTGAGCATTTTAGGAATATGTTTAATTGGATTTCTAGTATAAACAACCTTGACCAGCTATCAAGTGCTTGGTTTCATTCAAGAGAGACAACTCCGTTAATCCTTTTTCATTAGTTTGTGAAGAGTCATCCCCTTTTGTTTACTTGCTAGCAGACGACATTTTCAGTGATCATCAGTATGGATGATTTAGAGAAGAGGAAGTTGATTTCAGAGAATTATAACAAGGACATCAGATCAGCTAAAGTGATTTCAAGTAGAACAGGCACCCCTTTGTCCACTGTTTATCGTATTTTGAAAAATATTGCAAATGGATATGGCATTGAGCACCAGGGAGGCGCAGGTAGGCCCAGAAAATTGACTGTCGGTGACAGGAGGCGGCTTGGTATTCTTGTTTCTAAAAACAAACGAAGGAGTTTAGAAAACTTAAGGCTGGATATGATTGATAGAGGAACTATGGCTGTCTGTAAGGAGACAATTAGAACTGAGCTGCATGCAATGGGTTGGCAGGAAAGTCGAGGAATTCCATCACCGATCATGAAACCTGAACAAAAGGAGCGAAGGTTAAACTGGTGCTTACAGCATAGAAATTGTAACTGGGACAATGTGATTTTCTCAGACGGAAGTTCTGTGTGGCTGTTTCCTAATACACTGACATTCTGGACCAAACAAACTGAAAAAACATTTGTATCAGCCCCCAAAGTAAAGTGCGAAATTTAAGGTGTGGGGTGGCATATCTGTGTTAGGGGCAACGCTCCTCTGTGTATTTGAAGGGAATATGAGTGAGTGAGTGAGCGGTACACTGATATTCTCGTTCAAAGCATTCAGGCCTGGTTTCGACATTATTAGATTGGCCAAGCTATAGCCCTGACCTTATGAAGGAAAGTGTCAATAAGAAAAATCTGACAAATATTGCTGAAATGAAAGAAGAGGTGGTCTGATATTGGGACAGCATGACTAACTTCTTTCATCAGAAGTATGCCCTGCCGCATTGAAGCCTGCATTGCTGCCCATGGTGACTTGATAAAGTACTAACTGTTCACCTGTCTTTGAATCTGGAGTTATGTTCTGCTAATATTCACATTCAATACGTGAGTAAGGAGTGAAAAAAATAAAAAAATTACAATCTTTAAATTCTCAATAATTTCTGGTTGTACTGTAAGAGTATGTCCCAATTATTACATGCAGGGGCGTAGCTACCATTATAAGAAAAGCCCGGGCTTACACATGATATTTGCTAAAAAGGTTGGGCAAGCCCTCAATACTATCTAAATATTCAGCTTTTCAAACTATCGGGCTTACACGAAAAAACTGGCTTGCAACGCGCCTTACAAGATAAGGTGGATTAAACATCCATTGTACCCATCTGCTTATATTTTATCTTTTGAACATCGTAATTAGTTAGGGACATCATCACACTTTGAAAGGAAACAAGTTTCAACCTGTTGAAATATGGATCGTTTTTTTCTTTGTGGAATAACAATTTAGACTAGATTTCTGACTGTTTTTGAGTTCTTGTGCATATCGGCGGATCAAAGAATGAGAACCGGTAGATTATAACAAAGAACATACAATAAAGAGGTACAGCCAACAGTTTTTGTTGATTAATGATTACATGTGAAGCTAATCGATGTACAACATTATTATGCAAATTAAAAACTACAAAGTGGTAAATCTACATGCATGCACATCAACACTTCACACATAACAGTGATTATGAATCAACGCATTATCGGTTAATCCTTTGAATAAAGTCTTTTACAACTCAGTTGGCCATTCCTCTCTTGCTGCGCTGCCACTAGAAGGGAGCAGTTATTGTTGTGTTAAATGTAATGTCCCTGAAAAGGTAGTGGTCGTCGCTGTTTTGAGTACCTAAACTGAACGTAATGCGCCAACGCCAGTTGTTGAAAATTATACTACATAATTGTACATAATTATACACTCATATAGGAACATGATGGAAAATTTGAATTCAAGAGGATATCCCTGGTTTTCAACGAGACTTGTCGGAAGCCAGTTCGGTGGGTAGCTAAAACTTGGAGATTTGTCTACTTTTACAACAAGGTATACCTGTAAAAAAGAAGAAAATGAAAGAACTGGTAAAAAAAAATTCGATATACACAAACACAAACAAGTGTTACATTGGTGGCCTGCGCAAAGTTTGTATTTCTTTGGATTCACGAGCTATATCAAATTGTATTCTGTGGATATTTTTTCCAATGTTAAAGCGTGTGTACCACATGTATGGTTTCAAAACAGTGAGTGAGTGAGTTATTATTTAACGTCACATCGGCAATATTTCAGCCTGTGGTTACGAGAACATATGTGACATTGAAATGGAATAGATGTATATTATAAAAACCTGTCGACGAAGGACAGTAAAACAACTAGAATATCACAATTACAACTAAAACTAGTGTAGAAAATGAAAACTAAAGTACTGTCGGAAATAGAAAAAAAACTGTATTTTCTCATTTATCTCTTCAATTTCTGTATTTGATATGTGCAAGTGTGAAATATCTGTTAAACTAAGTTCGGCCTAACTACAGTCTCAATGGTAGGGACACAAGAAACGTAGAAAAATGATTTTACTGAGGAGATATTAGTGCAGAAATGAGCAATGCGATTTTTTTCCCAAGTCCAAAACGAATTATTTGGAACAGACCATGGCTGTATGCAAATTAGTGTGCGACGATATTGTATTATAAAGGACACTATTTAAGTGACCAATTTGAAATTAGACGTAGCTTCATTATAAACGATAGCTGGCGTAAAAATAATAACTTTCATGCTGAAACTATTCAGGATGTAGCTACCATGCAGTTTCACCGTCACTATAAAAAGAAACAGATAGGAGGGTTCGTCTCAAAAGCAAAACCTGGACGGGTGTCGCAGACGATCGTTGGGGTCGGGCTTGGGGATAAAGATTTCAGCTAAGATACGATAATCCTTTAGGGCAATTATACTGGGTATACGGCATGTCATAACAACTTACAAATAATATCCAATCCTGTCGATCTTTGCGATCAGGTGGTCATGTCACCTATATATTTTGGACATTTAATACGATGCGTTTCTATGGTTATCAGGTATCAAACTCTTTTACATATCTCAACAAAAACTTTATGAAAGAAAAACACTTAAGCTGTTAATCACTAGATGAGATCGGGCTTGGGGATAGAGATATCAGCTAAGATAAGAGTGAGTGAGTGAGTGAGTTATTATTTAGCGTCACATCGGCAATATTTCAGCCATATCGTGACGAGAACAATCCAGTTTATATCAATATGAAAATCAGTAAGGATAGAACATAAATACCTGTCATCGAAGGACAGTAAAAATAATAGAACATCACAGCTATATAAATTTAAAACTAGTACGCTGACGTAAAATTAAATAACTATAGACAATACAAAATAAAAAACTGGCTATAGATCACCAACAACTGAAGGTAGATCACCATACCAGGGTCCATGGGGACTTACAGTACCTTTGCTACCTGCATATCTAAGATAAGATAATCCTTTAGGGCAATTATACTGGGGAAGTACACGGCATGTAATAACAATTCACATATAATATCCAGTCCTGTCGATCTTCGCGATCGGGTGGTCATGCCGATGCGTTTCTATGGTTATCAGGTATCATACACTTTTACATATCTCAACATCAACTTCAAGAAAGAAAGACACGCAAGTTGTTAATCAATACATGAGGCATAGTCAACACACATTAAAAAGCACACAATACCTTTGAGATGACCCTTTGTGCCTGTATGACGGTCCGTCGTCATACCTGGCTGCGACATAATTGCCATCTAAAGTCTGATCTATTGTTTTCAGCAGCTATTCGTATTTTCTCTAAGTTTTGCCCGATTTTACGAGTAAACATGTTTTTCTGGATATTCTATTACGCAACCCACTGAAAGCCCAAATTAGGCCGAAGTGGGTTATTTCGACATTTGCTATTTGCATTTTTGTAAATTTTAGGGATACAGAGCAACAGCCTAAAAACAGTTTTTTTTTCTATTTCTGACAGTTCTTTAACAGCACTATTTGGACAATACAATATAAAAACTGGCTATAGATCGCCAACAACTGAAGGTAGATCACCAAACTAGGGACCAAGGGCATTTACAGTACCTTTGCTACCTGCATGGACCCTAGTTGGATTTATGTCACTCCTTCAGCCGCTGGCGATTGAAGACAAATTTAGCCGAAATTAAAATGACAAGAATACTACATTTAAAACATAACTTGTTTGAGTTGCATTTTAGAAGTTGAGACGCACAATATGGAACAAGTTTTTATGGATAACAACTTCTTTATTTCGTGAGTGCGACGTTTCGATACAGATTCTTGTACCGTTGTCACTCTTGCTTGTAATATGTAAATTTCAACTCGTCCATATGTTTGTTCTCATGTTGGGATTCAACTCTTCAATATGTCAGTCCTCATGGAGGGATTTATTTCGTCAATATGTCAGTACCACATGTATGTACTCTAATTGTCAATGTGTCTCTGCCACATGTATGTCCTCAAGTCATCAATATGTCTCATCAAGGGATTCAACTCTTTATTATGTCTCTACCATATGTCATCAAGTCGTCAATATGTCTGCACTCATCAAGGGATTCAACTCGTTATTATGTCTCTACCAGATGTGATCAAGTCGTCAGTATGTCTGTACCCATCTGGGGATTGAACTCAACTCGTCAATAGTTGTGCACCACATGTTTGTAGTCAAGTCGTCATTATATCTTTAACACTACATATCTCTTTTAACGTCAATATATATTTTTCTATGCCCTCAACCCGTGAATGTTTCTGTACCACATGTATGTATTGAAGTCGTCATTATAGTTGTACCCACGTAGGGATTCAAATCGTCAGTATGCCTTCACTCGTCAATATTTCAGTATGTATGTACATGTATGTACGCAACACGTTAGTAATTCATTTATTCATTTTACCTGTCACATGTTAGCACCATGTGAAACAAGAAGCTCCAGCACGTGTCGTAGTCCCAGTGTCTTCGCTATCGAGGCGGCTGACTCTCTCTTTTCATTCTTTGCGTTGACGTCCACAATACCCTGCGACAGGACATATTCCACAACCCCGACATGTCCTCCCCGACAGGCCAAGTGAAGGATGTTGTCACTGCGTGCATCTCTGAGTGTCAGATTAGCTCCTTTTTTCACGAGTAACTCAACCACGTCTTTATGTCCCCTTCGCCCTGCAACCATCACTGGTGTTTTGTTGTCATTTGCTCTGCTATTGATGTCTTCCGTGTCCTGTGACAGGACATATTTCAGCACCTCTACATGTTCTCCATGAGATCCTAAATGCAGGATGTTGTAACCGTGTACATCTCTGAGTGACAGATTAGCTCTGTGATCGACGAGTAACTCTACCACGTCCCTATGACCCCATCGTCCGGCTATCATCACTGGTGTCCTGTTGTCATTTCTTCTACTGTTGATGTCCACTGTGTTCTGTGAGAGGATATATTTCGTCACCTCCACATGTCCTCCCGCACAGGCATAGTGAAGTATGTTGCTCTTGCTTCTATCTGTAAGTGACAAATTAGCTCCACGTTTTACGAATAACTCAACCACGTCTTTATGTCCCCTTCGCCCTGCAACCATCACTGGTGTTTTGTTGTCATTTGCTCTGCTATTGATGTCTTCCGTGTCCTGTGACAGGACATATTTCAGCACCTCTACATATTCTCCATGAGATCCTAAATGCAGGATGTTGTAACCGTGTACATCTCTGAGTGACAGATTAGCTCTGTGATCAACGAGTAACTCTACCACGTCCCTATGTCCCCATCGTCCGGCTATCATCACTGGTGTCCTGTTGTCATTTCTTCTACTGTTGATGTCCACTGTGTTCTGTGAGAGGATATATTTCGTCACCTCCACATGTCCTCCCGCACAGGCATAATGAAGTATGTTGCTCCTGCTTCTATCTGTAAGTGACAAATTAGCTCCACGTTTTACGAATAACTCAACCACGTCTCTATGACCCCTTTCTCCTGCTACCATCACTGGTGTTTTGTTGTCATTTGCTCTGCTATTGATGTCTTCCGTGTCCTGTGACAGGACATATTTCAGCACCTCTACATATTCTCCATGAGATCCTAAATGCAGGATGTTGTAACCGTGTACATCTCTGAGTGACAGATTAGCTCTGTGATCAACGAGTAACTCTACCACGTCCCTATGTCCCCATCGTCCGGCTATCATCACTGGTGTCCTGTTGTCATTTCTTCTACTGTTGATGTCCACTGTGTTCTGTGAGAGGATATATTTCGTTACCTCCACATGTCCTCCCGCACAGGCATAGTGAAGTATGTTGCTCCTGCTTCTATCTGTAAGTGACAAATTAGCTCCACGTTTTACGAATAACTCAACCACGTCTCTATGACCCCTTCGCCCTGCAACCATCACTGGTGTTTTGTTGTCATTTGCTCTGCTATTGATGTCTTCCGTGTCCTGTGACAGGACATATTTCAGCACCTCTACATATTCTCCATGAGATCCTAAATGCAGGATGTTGTAACCGTGTACATCTCTGAGTGACAGATTAGCTCTGTGATCAACGAGTAACTCTACCACGTCCCTATGTCCCCATCGTCCGGCTATCATCACTGGTGTCCTGTTGTCATTTCTTCTACTGTTGATGTCCACTGTGTTCTGTGAGAGGATATATTTCGTCACCTCCACATGTCCTCCCGCACAGGCATAATGAAGTATGTTGCTCCTGCTTCTATCTGTAAGTGACAAATTAGCTCCACGTTTTACGAATAACTCAACCACGTCTTTATGTCCCCTTCGCCCTGCAACCATCACTGGTGTTTTGTTGTCATTTGCTCTGCTATTGATGTCTTCCGTGTCCTGTGACAGGACATATTTCAGCACCTCTACATATTCTCCATGAGATCCTAAATGCAGGATGTTGTAACCGTGTACATCTCTGAGTGACAGATTAGCTCTGTGATCAACGAGTAACTCTACCACGTCCCTATGTCCCCATCGTCCGGCTATCATCACTGGTGTCCTGTTGTCATTTCTTCTACTGTTGATGTCCACTGTGTTCTGTGAGAGGATATATTTCGTCACCTCCACATGTCCTCCCGCACAGGCATAGTGAAGTATGTTGCTCCTGCTTCTATCTGTAAGTAACAAATTAGCTCCACGTTTTACGAATAACTCAACCACATCTCTATGTCCCTTACCAGCTGCCCACATCAACGGTGTTCTACCAATTCGGTCTTTGCAATCAATGTCTACCTGTTCCTGGGACAAGGCGAATTTCACCTTTGATAGGTCGCCGGACGTTGAGGCGTTGTAGACGAAACACAGCGATGGTGCTGTAACACAATGTTTAACACCATACACATCTTTGATAACAGTTTTGAAGGTAAAAGGAATAAAAGGTTGACATCATATAATTCCGGAAAGTGATTGTCATTACCTTTCTCAGATCAGCGGGTTGATAATGGGACAAAGGATGAATGTTTCATTAAGATGGCACAAGGGTTACAACTTTATTCATGCAAAGAGGATAGTAGTTAACTGCAGAGGCTATGGCTCAGTGTGACATTAGTCACCTAAAACTGTGTTTATGCAATGGACGTTGACTGAAATCACCAGCATGGGGAACAAAACTGGAAGAATAATTCAGTTGTTGTTTATACTATCATGTTTTGCAAAGCAGAACATATAATTTCTTTCAGCAATTAAAAATACAAAATAGCATAGATTATGAGTGAAGTATGTTATGGATTCCTGTCCAACTGATGGTTTTCTGTTTATGTATGTATACGTGTGCTTGCGGTCGTTCGGGCGTGTGCGAGCGTGTGTATGTATGTTTTAGGTAGGTAGGTTCTTTTGTATGCATTGTCACGCATTAATTCCAAGTAGGAACTTAAGATGTAATCAGCCCGCAAAAGAACATGATGTCAAAGCAACAAACAACAAATAAATGAGCTGTAAGAACAAATGTATTATTAAGAGAACAAAGTTCAGAAATCAACACATAGGTATCACAAAGGCAGTACAAAATACAATGGCAATACAAATTCGAAGGTTAAGATGAAATGTGATTTAAGGGGCAAGACAACGAAAATCCAAGCACATTCTACAACATTTTCCGATACTGAGATCATGTCTGCAGTCAAGACTCACCACCATCACGTGAAAACACATCAGCAATAACTTGGTCTTTGCCTTTAATGCATGATGTCTAAATCAAATTCTTGGAAAGACAAGCTCTACCACATTCGTTTTGTTTGGTCTTCATTTAAATTGAGTGGATTGTGATCACTGTACAATTGAATAGGAAACAAAGTAGTACCAAGGTTATGACAGAACCGACAACAAAGCAATAGGTTTTTTTTAATGGTGGACTCCTTTCTCTGAACAAAGGGTATTCAAAGTCTGATGCATCTTCCACCAACAGGATGTCACTGGCATGTGCACAATTTGAGGCCTGCAGAAAAGGAAACTTCCTGAAAATGACTTTGAGTTTCTTAAAAGCAGAACTTTGCCTTTGCTGTCCCAAACAAATTTTACTATTTTGCAAAGCAAATTAGTGAAATTAAATATCGGACAAACTTGATCTTAGTAACCAGCCATGGCAAGATATCTCGTACGTTCCTTCTAATTTTTAGGAACTAGGAATTTTGAAATAGATTCCACCTTCTTTACTGGCTCTACCTGACCTATAGCATATTAACCTAAAATTGTAATCGTGCTTATGCAACATCACCCTAACTAAATTCGCAGTTAGCTTGGCTTAAGTGAGTCTTTCGAGGAGAGCATGGTTCCTATTTCGGTGTCCCTCACATCACATGGAATGAGTGATGGTAATATCGGTGTCAATTTTCACCAGATTGAGGTTAATGTCGTTTAGGAAGGCTGAGCTCCAATGACATTACTTTGTATTGATAAAAAGTATCTGGAGTAAACAAAAATATGTAAACCATTTGGTACGCTCTGTCAGTAGAATCTGCCAATACCCCTTCATTTTATGTGAACTTACGTACTTTCCACGTGCTGATCGATCCGGTCGATGCAGAGATCAGTTCTTGGTATTGGGTTAGAGTCAGTTTCAGAAAAAGTCTGGTAAATCTACGATTTAACCTCAAACAAATAGCAAAAGAATGTATTTTGTGATAAATATGTTCATTGCCATTGTCTTCATGATATATTAGAAGTCTGGCACCCGTGAAGATCACCTCCTCGTGATGGGTGCTGGGTAACGCTAAGAGCTATTCAACCCCCCGTATGGACCCGGGGGCATATTTGGTCCGAACAGAACAGAACAGAAATGTTATTCTCAAAAATCACATATAGAGACACAGAGAACATACAGCAATTTGGCACATATTCAAAACATTGAGGAAAGTCCCGTTTTGATACATTTGGCAATTTTAGAGTTAAGTGGTGAATAGTCACATATCATTAGATAAACAAATATTTCAAGAGTAGGATGCTTACATAAATATTGGGGAAGAAATTGATGTATGAGGGCATTGAGTGCTGGACAGTATAATAGAAAGTGAAGTTCATCACAGACAGATGATGAACAAAGTTGGCAGGTTCTATTACATCGTTCGATGCCGTACCAACGTCCTGTTCAAATGGGCAACCTGTGGTTTGAAGTTCTAAATTAATTAAGTTAACCAGCGTCTATAGTATTAAGGTAATTGTAACAAATAAGGTTCTAAAATTAGTGAATGCTTATACATTATATAGTAATAACCCTTCGATGAGTCGACAGCAGAGCGCCACCATAACTGCTTAAACTGATCAATTAGAATGAACTGTACATTATGTTTAAGCCAAACAATGCTAGGTACAGATTGGCTGAGCCAAATATAATACAATCCAGTATCCTGGAGGATACGCTTGACACTTGATAACAATGGAAAATTAAAATCAGCATTTGAAGAATATAAAGTGTACATGACATGCTAAAAAATTGTATTTAAGTTCTCATTGCAAACATAACATTTTGAGTGAGTGAGTGAGTTAAAATTTAAGGTCACATTGGCAATATTGCAGCCATATCGTGACGAGAACAGGTGATATCAATAGGAAAATCAGTAAATGTATAACATAAAAACCTGTCATCGAAAGACAGTAAAACAACTAGAATATCACACATATACAGGTAAAACTAGTAATTAAATCTGAAACATTCTAACTATAGGGGACAACACTATATATAAATAGGCTATAGATCGCCAACAACTGAAGGTAGATCACCATACCAGGGACCATGGGGACTTACAGTACCTTTGCTACCTACATGGACCCTAGTTGGATTTACACCATCCCTTCAGCCGCTGGCGAGTGTAGGAAAGTTTAGCCGAATTTTAAAGGAACAAATACACTCTGGTAAGCTTAAATTTAACTTTGAAAGTTTTGGAACTTACGTACCTTCTCAGGGGGACAATAACTTTACGATACTTTAACCCCCTTTGAGGGTACAGCCACTAACAATGGCAGTTGCAAATTCATACTACCATGTTTAAAATACCATTTATCTATTTACAAAACACATTATTCAAAATTTATCTAATAATTATATTTCCTTTAAAAATTCAAGTATTAAATGATTATTGACATTGTAAATACGATCTGTCAATGTTTTGACATTGAAATACTTATCCCTTGTGATGGAAAAATCAATACAGTAAAGCAGGACATGCTTTACCGAGATTCTCTCATCACAAGGGAAGCAAAATGGAGGATCTTCGCCTTTCAACAAATATTCATGTGTATACCCTGTATGGCCAATGCAACATCGTCGCATGATGACCTCTTCAAATCTGGACTGACAACCTAAGTAGGTGTAACCAATTTAGGGTTTTATTTCTTGTTATTTATTGATACCTACTTGGGTGTCCCACTTCTTCTGCATCAGATCACGGATGCAGGTTCTAATGCTCTCTTTGTAATCAGAGTATGGCATAAGAAGAGGTGTCACAGATTTGTTGAGCAATGCCTTAGCAGCAAAATCAGCCATTGTGTTACCAGAGATTCCACGGCGAAGTTTTAAAGATGGCTTATCGGCCTCAATGTAGACACTCTCAATGGGAGAGGTTCTGAAAGACCCAAGACAAAGTCCTTGACCCTGGTGATGGATAGAATCAAGTAGTTTGAGGTTGTTTTTACAGGCCCCACCACATACGATACAGCAGTAATCAATGATCTATACAAATGAAGAAGGGTGGTTTGGTCCCCTCCCGACTTTGAACTGGAAACGACTTTCAACAAGTCGAGTGCCTTCAGGCATTTGGCTTTTAGATGTTTGATATGTGGCAGAAAGGTTAAATGGGAGTCAAAGATTATACCAAGGAATTTATCTTCCTTGACAACTTTGATGGGTGTGCCATTTAATGACAATTCGGGATCTTTATGGGGTTTGTATTTCCTACAAAAATGTATGCAATTGGTTTTGTATTTCGAAAATTTAAACCCGTTTTCCAGACACCATCTATGAATTTTGATGAGATAAAGTTGTAATTGTCTCTCAATAGTTCGCATATTTTTACCACGACAAGAAATATTACAGACAGACCGACAGACACTTTATTCGGTAATATACGGCCTTATGGCCTATTTTACAGTTAATATAAAATGTGTTTGTTTTTTAATGTCACGTGAGCACACACTGAAATAGTTATCTAGCAATAAATATATGTTTTAACAATGTTGCAACTGCATGTATAACAAGAGGATTGTGAGAGTTTAATAAATTTACCATTAACATATTGTTTTTATGGACATGTATAATGTGTAGAAGATATTTCTCCCTCAAATCTTTATATTTATCACAAACTAATAATACATTGAATTCATCTTTAATAAAACCCAATTTACAGTTTGCACATTTAATAAGGCCAATATCGTCTTGTTTATACCTTCTGGAAAAATTGACATTAAAATTGTGTAGGGAAAGTCTAAATTTGCACATGGCTCTTATCAAATCCTTATTTCCTAATGACGTTAAATACTTCTCTGGTTCTATAGCTGACTTAATCGAATTCTAATGACATAAAAAGGATGAAGATGAAATACTATTGTGCCAGGTTTGATAATACATAATCTTTGTTTTAATGAAAATAGAAATAACTCTTCATCATCAAAGTCTTGCGCAATCCAAACAAAAGAATACCCACAAGCAAACAGCAAAGATCTAACATTTGAAACCCAGTTACAACTGAACCGGCCTCCAACAAACCTGAACCAGCACCTATTCGTATCTCCCTCCCCTTCATAGGGAAAACCTCTCACCACATCAGCCGTCTCCTCAAGCGAGAAGCAGGCATCGAAACCTACTTTACCACCTCTACACCAC